AATCATCCATGATCATGAGCCATAGTTTGTGTATCTTTCCTATATAAGCAGAAAAGGTTAGTTTGTGTATAATAAGTAAAATAATTAATAGCGCCTGGATACTCTACTGAAAGGTGTTGCTGTTTGACTGAAAGGAATAAAAAGAGCAGTAAAGCAAACAAATGTATTGCTCCAGCAGTAGTGTATTGTATTTGGCTCTTGAACCATTTCTCATTGATAAAAGAGCTCTTGCCACACCTATTAACAAAACACCAAATGCCGAAGCTCTGTGCATCTTGTTTGCTCTCCTTAGCCCATCTGGGCAGTAAGGGGCAGAGTGAGAGGGTGGCACCTCAAAATGGCTCCAGGGGAATAGTTAAATGAACTGAGATGTGCTTGGTAATCCCACAGTGACACAGGTGATAGGGGTGTGGCATGGTGTGTGCATGTTTGGCTTTCTGATTCATAAATTATTGTAGGGCAGTCTTCACAGCCTTGGCCATAGCACAGTAAAGGCTTGAGAAAAGATAGTTGTGAAACTCTTCAAATGAAGTTCTGCATTTCCTTTGTGTCTTATGCAATTGGCTCCTTTTCTCTTTTTCCTTCTTTTGTCCTTTTCCTCCTTCCGTTGTCAAGCCCTACTGGCCTTGGCATTTTGGAGCCTTTTTAGTCAAAGGTGACACTAAGCAGCAGTATGAAAATACTTGTTAAACAGTATTAAATGTCTGCTGAAAAGACATCATGTCCTTCCTTCATTGGATGTGTTCTGTCTCCTCAAGTAGTGCTAAGTTCTACTTGGTAAACTAATTATGACCCTAACCTGTTCTACCAGTTTCTTTGTCAGAAATCTTCTCTGATTTTAAGATCAATTTGATGGCTCTGTGAAAGCCATTGTAGGGCTGGGTTCTATGTGATTAATAGTCCCAGCCCAGGAGGTCCCTTTCAGTCCTGAATTGCTGATCAGATATTTAGAAGTGAGAGATTAAGAACTGGAACAGGGCTCTCCAGCCTTCTTTTTGGGATGTTTGGGAGCAGGGCAGAGGTGCTGAGTTTAAGCTCCAGTGCCAGGTGACTGATGTAAATGCACTTGGATATAAAGCTGGGAGGGGTTGGGGACAGTGACTTCCAGCAATGGGTAAGAAGCAGAACAACCCAAGTCTGGTGAATGCAATCTGCTGTGGGGATCAAGTGTGGCCCCTGATGGGAGTCTGGAGAGAGGGGAGAGAATATGGCATTGCAGCTGCCACAAGCATGGCTCAGCTCTGCAGTGCTTTGGGAAGGCAGGAGCTTGGGCTGTGGGCCCTCAGCAGCAGTGCTGGTTCCTCTTGTTTGTAGCTCTGCTGTTGGGGGTGATGGGGAAGCATGCCAAAGTCACTCTATGTACCTACCACATGCCAAGGAGCTGTTTCCCAATGTTTGGGTAGCCACCACCACATCCTCATGCCAGATCTTCCAAACTAGTTCCTCGCCTGCGTGTCTGTGTTTTGTTTTGCAAGCATTATGATACTGAGACTGTCATACTGAAACCATTGCACCCCATATCAGAGGACCTCTTTGTGCTTTGGGTGGAGAAGCAGGCTTCCCAGGAATATCTTCTGGTTTTATATTTGATCCTTACAGTAAGACTTTCATCTTTATGCATTTCTGTCTGCCTTACAAATTGTTTTCCTTCTTCTGTGCTTTTTAAGTAGCCCCAGTAATAAAAATGTTCTGACAAGCTGTTTCCTGAATGCTGCAGAAGCCTTCTTCACTTAGGTGTCCCTTCTGCTCAGCCCTAAGAAATGTATCCCTTCTGTGCAATTCCACCATCAAAGTCTAAGAGATCACAGCCTTTTGCAGCTGAAGTTGTCTTGTTTTCATAGCTACACCTTTTACAGTACCTAAATACCTGGGTTGTTTTACATTGTCCCTTTTGTGGCCTTACCGTTTCTTACTGGTTTATCTGTTTTTAAGGAGTATGTCAGTACCATTTCCTACAATGTCAAGTTTTTCCTTTTTGGTTGGTTTCAATTAATTCATGCTGCCCTTGTGCTTAAGGCACCCAGAGAGCTTGGAGGCCTGGAGTGCAGAATGAATCATTTAGGGCAGGCGATCGGCTTTGGAAGAGAGAACAAATTGAAAGTCATTTTCTCTCAAAACTGCTCTTGTTAATTTAGTTCCCAGTGTAGCCTTTCTTCTTCCCTTTTATTTAGAAGATGGGCTAAATATCAAGAGAAGGATGGGAAAGGCATTTTTAAGAATGTCAAGAACCCATTTCTATTCCTCCCAAAACTAGGGAAAAGAATAGCCTTAACAAATTAGTGCTCCAACAAGCTGAAAAGAAATTTCTAATTATATGTGTAGATATTAGAAATCTATTGGTGTGCCATGTCGTACCCCTGGTGACATACCAGTTTCTTTCAAGTCAAAGGTCTCAAATGAGTCATCATATGTATATTTGTCCAAGTTCTTCATGAGTTTATGTATTGACTTTTGGACTTTTAGCACATTTAACAATTTTGATGTAATTCTGAATAATGTAACATTAAAGGCTGCATTCTAATAACAGTGTTAAATAGAACAGGGGAAATAGCTTTAAGCAAGTAGCAAGTTTGTACAGAATATCAGCAACGTGATTTATACCAACTCTAGGAAGTCAGTTTTAAACAACTGCAGAAAAAGGAAACTAATATTTTTTATCACTGAAAATCTGTTCTCTCCTTTTCAAACAAACCTTTTGTCAGCTTTTATTTTCTAGCAAACTTTTCTTTTCTCTTGGCAGGGAAATTTGCCTTCTGTTAAATCCACTGTTTATTTTTGTTGCTTTGTTTTTTCATTACTACCTTCTCATATAGTTGTGTGAAAATGGAGCTAACTAGCTTGTGTCTTGTATCTGTGGGTATCTGTGTAACCCCATCTGTGCTTCTGATGTGCCAGGTACACCAAAATTGGCTAGGAAAAATGTCATTGCAGACAGATGTGTTGGCCCAGCTTGTGATGTGGGGCAGAGCAGATGCTGTGTCCCAGTACAGAGCTCTTCCGTCTCCCTGCAGCCTGGGGCTGATACCATCCCATAATGATGTGTTTCCTGTGGTTGTCTCCTCATATCAGTGATCTTTGTGTTTCTTCTGTTTGTCTCCTGTATCAATGGTCTTCCTCGGCAGGACCTCGTCCTTTGCTCGGCCCTCAGTGATTTCATTGATGCTATTGTCTCTTGCTGAGCACATCCATGTTAATGCCCTTGCAGGAACATTAAATAATGCATTGAAGGGTTTGGATCCTATTTCATATCGAGAGTGTGTTCAACATATGCAAAAGCATGAGAATGTTTGGAGCAGTGAACTGTTACACTTCCCTTTGTCCCATTTTCCTGTTACTCTAACTGTAGTGGCTGAACTGCAGCTGATCCAAGTGTATGTCTGGGGAAGTAAAAATCTGCCATTTCACGATTAACCTCTCCCCTTACACTCTTGTTTTACCTGCAGTTTTGAAAGTTGATTCTTTTATTGATAATGCATGGTAAATCTTGATCAATTTGCAGTTAATGTAATTTTCTCCTTTTGTTGTGGTTGAGGGAGAGTTTAGATATTTTCTATACGTGATTTTTAACTGAGACTTAGATTTTTGATTTTGTGTGCTGTGAATGGAGCGATGTGCTAAAATCCATTATGGAACTGTCATATGTAGAGGTGAAGCCTTAATTCATCTTCCTTCTGTAGAAGTCTGCTGCTTCATGTTGCCCTTGTAGAAATTTGGGAGGCAGTTTTGGAGATACAGCTATCCTTGAGCATAGGAATCCTAAAATAATCCAGGTTGGAAGTTGTCTGGAGGTCTAGTCCCACCTCTGGCAGGAATTGATCATAGTAGTTTTGAGTGCTTAGGGCCTGCTCTGCTCAGTCTGGAACATTGGGGTATCAGGGTTCCACAGCCTATCTGGGCAACCTCTTTTGGTGTTTGACAACTATGTTGGTGTTTTTCAAGTATCTAGGCAGCTCTTCTTGGCCTTTGTGTCCACTGCCCTTCATGCTATCACTGAGCACTTCCCAAAAAGCCTTGCTGTTCCTTTACCCAACTCCACTGGACAGCTGAGGATGGTAATGAGCTCTCATCTCAGCTCCCTTGAGGTATAGGACACTAAAGAATTTATTCACCTGTGTTTTTTCAGTCTTGCCAGAGTGGGGATTTTCTGTGAGAGTATGGAGATATCCCTCTACACCTACTGAAATCTTGGTGTGTTTTGTAACTCTGGTGCTGTGGGGTTTGTGTGGATCAGAAACAGTGATTCCCAGAAAGAAAGTGTTCCTGATTGGGATTAGATCTCGGAGTCTGCTAGGGCTGGAGGGAAGACACAAAACCAAAGGGAGGAACTGGTTCTATCTGTGAGATGGCTGAGAGCACACTTGGGAAGGAACTCATTGCAGAAGTGGCAGTTTGACAGAGTAAAGCCAAAAAAAAAGAGGATTAATGAAAATGAAGGCATTGGTAATAGCAAAACCAAGAGTAGGTGGTGCAGATGCAAAGAGAAAGTTGGAATTGTGGTGGGCAAGGGATTGCAGACACTACTGCCTTAATTGGCTCAGACTTTCTCTTTTTACTATCACAGTAATGCCTGTGGGCAAGTTAAGAGCGAAAAAATGAGTACAAATATTGCAAGAGGAGCATCATGGATATCATGGAGTTTGGTTTTCCTAGAGTGTAGAGGGGAAGATTATTGGTTGAAGGGGGAGGAGTTGTTCTTCTTTTTCAGCCACTGCTTTGAATAATGAAATATTTATTCCCTTGGAGAAGAACAGCTGAAACAATAGAGCTGTGTTTATAGAAAAATGGTTATTTGTCCAGACTCTGATTTCTGGTTCATCAATACCTCTTTGTGAGAGGTACTTCCCTCAAATATGCCTTTGTTTCCAATGGAATGCAACCAGGGGCGTATAGTGCAAGGAGTCTCAGTTGGGCTGGCTTAAACAAACAATAAAACAGTGCAACGGCTGAAATTAAAATGTATATATTTGTTCTATGCCATGTTCTATTCATTACCTGATTGGAGCATGAGGCAAAACAAAACCTCTTGAAGCTTCCAGCTGGCTGAGCTGCGTATCTGTACAGCAATGTTACATGTGTTTTAAAACATGATTAACAAGGCAGTTGCCAAGCTTTTCTTATGGTTTGTTTAATGAGCTTCTGAATGGTGGAAATAATCAGAAAAGTTCTCAATTCATGCCTATCCTTAAGGACAAACACCAACATTTTTTCCTTTTTTTTTTTCTCAGACCGCTGAGCCCAGTGATCCAGTCTTATGCTTGGAGGGACTGTGACAGGTGGTAAGTGAGATGGCTTCAGGTCACTTTGAGTGTAATTCATCTCTTTTCTGAAAAGGACATCTGCTTGCCCAGAGGGTGCTCCAGTCTATTTTCTTCTCTCCATGCCCTGGTATCCTCTGCTGGAAGCAGTTGGGAGCTCGGAATATTTATTACTATGTCATTGCTCGTCATGTCCCTGTTGTGATGGCAGGGTGTGTGCAAGCTCCCTTTCTCTGCCAGGGAACCACAGCCTGGCCTAGAACACAAGTTTAATACCATAAGGCAATGTTTGTAGTTGGATTTGCTGTGCTTTTTTCTCTCCATTCTGGTGTGTTGAGCTTGTCTGCTGCTTTGACTTGATTTGTTTGGTTCTCTAGAAAGCACCATCTAGTGGTACAAGCTCCTTAAGGAATAGGTTATGTAGCTTCCTTCTGGGGTAAATCTGTCTCTTGTTTTGCCTTTGCTAAAAATAAAGCCTAAGCACATTTCTCCAGATTGCCTTCCAGCCTGGTTCACTTTTGGAAAAATTTGGCTGCATCCTTCCACCTTTATGGTGCCTTTTTAAAAACTTTTTTGACAGGAGCTTAAATCAAATGGATTGATCTCCAAGAAGTGATCAATGATAAGTAAAAGAGGTGGTTGCTGTATGAGAGAAACAGGTGGTACTGCTCTGTGGTCTGCTCTAGAGGCAGAGATGAGTCTGCAGGGGGGGTAGGTGGAGGAGAGCTGCTGTTCTTCCACCTGTTTGGGGTTTTCCCCCAGGGGTTTATGCATATTTTGGATACAGCCAGGTAGTAAGGAGGATATTGCCCTCTCTGCAGCAAGAAGGATGGCATTGAAGGAACAAGGAGTGCACGCTTAAGCAGGGTGTGAAACAAGGACAAGGAAGGCAGCTGCAGAGAGACACAGACAGCTTTTGCCACCCATTGCAGAGCAGGCAACGCCACGGGATACAGGTATGCAAGTGACCAGGAGCTGGAAACTGAGGAACTGAAGGAGCAGTAAATCATGGAGAATCTGAGTGAGAAGTCAGTGAATACAACAGTGTGAAGAATCCATTGAGAAGTCAGGACAAGTCATCAAAGAATTTGTGAAATGACTTGCATGTGTTGCTGACAGGGCTGGCAGTACTTGCTGTGTTGTGTCCATATGACAGCCTGGGTTGAACAGGATGGACATCATTGTGCCAATAACTTATTTGTTCTGGTCACTGAACAAAACACAAATACATGCAATGCTGTAAAGTGATTCTTATTTCATTCTAGAAAACAGAAGAAATGTTCATGAACAGCTAAATTTCATTACCATTGACAACCACAGTGATGGGCAGATGGTGTCACACCTTGCTGTCTTGCCTGGATTAAATACTTTGTGACTAATAATGGGAAAATCTCTCTTAGAAAATTTATTTTTCCCTCCCAGATTAACACTACCTGCCCTTTTTAGTGTCCCAATATAGAGCAGCAGAGGCATCTTTGAATTTCCTTAAAAGTATCAAGGAAAAAGTGTTTACTGGTGCCCAGTAAATATGTGAATATGTAAGGGTGGCATCTTTACAGATCCATCATAAAAGACTTGCCCTGTAGGGTGGTACAGCCTGCTTGTTTGAGCATTTGGAGAGCAAAATCTGAATTTGAGCATCTTTAAATAGAAAGGGGTTTGAAGTCCTGTGGTTTTTGGCCCATGAAAATTACCTATAACTACCAAGATGGAAATGCCTTTAATGTTTTTGATTCTAGAAATATTTTCAGCCTAACTTCATTCAGTTTTCAACGAATTGATATGAGGTTTGTGGTAAAATCCACCATTAGAAATGAAAGGAAACAAGCTGCTTGTCAGAGTTAGGCTTCCCTATGAAGCTCCTGGTTACAAGAGAGCTGAGATGGTTTTTAAACAGGCAGCTTAGCTTCAAAGATACACTTAATAAGCAAGAGGGACCAGCTGTTTTGACTATAGAGGGAATGACTACAGACTGATAATGAAGGTGAAACAGAATTAATTTTTTGTGTCTGTGGTACATAGCAGTACCACCACTTAATGCATGGCATTAGCAACATAAATTACATCCTGTTTTACTCCATATTGTGACAGTATATGCCCAGAAGGAAACACAGGAGGAGAAAGTCTACAGACTGGAACAGCAAGGACAGTGGGCAAATTGTGGAAATGCTTCACTCCTAGAAGGTTGCTGAGGTAAGTGAATTTGAAGCATGTGAAGCTTGCCAAAATAAAAGTTACCGGCTCCTATTCCAAAGTTGCAACATCCTGGCAGATAAAGCGTTTTGTAAATAGTGACACAACTAGAAAGAAATGCATGCTAAAAGCTGGGAGATATGGTGGGATTCAATTTACATTAATGAAAGGGTCATGGAATGATGCAGTGTCAAGTTATGTGTGAGAAAATGTATTGATTTAGATACCAACTGTATGAGATGGGAAGTTACAGCTCATGCTTGGGACTTCCTGTTATATACAGGTTATATTTACCTGGTCAAGCATGAGAACATCTGGGGCCTGGAGCAGTGCAGGTTAGCCCTGAAAACCAAGGACCTCTACTGGTGTTGTGCTGGTGTTCTGCTCTTGGTACACCACATACACGCAGAAACTCTAAACAAAAAACACTCCAATCCCAAATAAGAAAAATGCAAACAAAAAACCCAAACAACCCACCAACCAACAAACCCAAACACTACCCAAAAAAACTCCAAAAACACCCAAACTGAAAAACCTACCACCAATTAATCAAAAAACCCCAAAACAAACAAAAAAAAACAAAAAGAAACCCACCAAAGATACCAGAAAAACTTGCTTTGTAAGATGGAATTACTTTTTCTAGCTAACAATTGATCTATTTGCTGATTCTGACCAGGTTAAAGACTAAATAAAACAAGTAATTTTCAGGCCTTTTATGCCAATAAGGTGAAGCAATCACTGCTGCTGTCTTTGGTTATGTCTCTTTGCAAGTCAATATTTTTTTTTTTCATTTCTTTAGTCTGAGTTGAATTTCATGTGTGTGGTGGAATTTTCAGTATCTCACTGGCCTCTATGCCGTGGTATTGTAGTTGATGAATAAATGAGTTTCCCAATCATACTTGTATTAGTGTGTTGTGGAGAGATGGAATGTAAAAGAATAGTGCTCACCCAGAGGAGTTGCAGCTGTACCAATCCCCAAAGATCAGAACAGGCCTGCCCTTAACAGGCCACAGCTGTGTCCAATAAGAAGATGGGTGCTACAAAAGGGTGGCTTAGCTGGGTGAGGGGAGAGTTGGAGTTGGTTGGCTGTGCTGTGAAGGAGGAGCCAGTGTTGCCAGGAGCTGTCTGTGAGAAACCACAGAGAAGGTGTGGGACTTTTGCAATATGATGACAGCAGTGTATTGGGGTTTTTTTCTTGTCCTTTCTTGGACTGTTCTGTGTAATGGCTGTCAAATTATTTTCTTTGCATAATGCTGCTCATCTCCTTTTGGAAGGGAAGATGTGACACATGCCCTTGATTTCTGTTGCACTACAATGCAGCTGGACTAACAGAAGTCTTGACTGTCCACTAATCTGGCTGTAGGACCTGACAGCTTTTGGAACAGTGGGTTTATTGGCAAAGGGCTTCCCAAATGTAGTTTTTAGTGGTGGTTGTGTTCAGAGTGACATAAAAAGTGCATATATTGATATTTCAAAGCACAGTCATGCGATATATCTATACATTTCTATTCAAAAATGGGTGAATTTCCAGAAATAGCTTGGGGCTGTTTGCCATGTAATGCACTGAAAACACATGTGAGCAGCAAGAAAGCAGCATTTGTGCCATGAGAAGTTAATTGGTAAGCAAAGTATCATTTGAGTTGTGGGCTCCTGAAGCAGTCTCAGGTTTTGTACCCAAAAGCCACATCTGATTGATGATATCTTGCATGTGTGTCATTGTATGCAAAGGGTTTCATTTTCCAGCTTCCAGAACATCTGCATCTGTAGTTTTATTGTAATGCTGATGGGACATGAATACTCTTTTTTACAAACAGAGCCGACTTCACAGGTGGCCCTACTACTAAGTTTCACATTAGGCAAGAATTCCTTGCATGCTCAGTCATCTTATTCTGCTGATTTTCAGTGTGTTCAGTTGAGTTCACCAAGGTGACCTTTCACTGAATTTTCTGTGACTGTGTGCCCAAGGGTTTGCCTAAGCAGACTGCCTGTCCCTATGAGCCTGACCTCTCTTAGATCATCACAGCTATGGATTACTATCTCAATTTATTGTGAAAATCCTTGACTGGCACAGCTTTTGGGACATGTTTCTGCACATCTTGATCTGAAGATCCCATTAGCTGTCTGAGACACTGCCTTACAAGTTCATGGCAATTAAGGAGAACACAAAAATTAACTTGGAAATTTTATTAGGTTCAACCAAGGGATTTGGGGCAGCATAAGTTGGTTTGGTTTTTGGGAATGCACTTTGCTCTTTACAGTAATTTGAGGAACAGAACTCTACAATGGATTCATTAGTGCAGGAGTTTCCGGTGTGTAATTCTTCAGGGTAAGCTTGTAGGTCCATGGTCATTGTCTTTAGTATGTGATTCTCTCACATGTTTTTAGATGTACTAAAGAAATGCTAAATGGTTCTTTTCTCCAGTCAGAGTTGTTGATAATATCCTGGTGTAAATGAGAAAAATATCTTCTTCTGTTCTTGTTCTCCTTAAGAGGAATGCTGTGAAATGTGTGAACATTATCTATGGGGCTTCTCCATTCCTATGCAATTCCTCTTTTTATTCTTCTCTGTGGTAATAAAGATACCCCTTTATTATAAGATATCTCTGTGCCACTTGCTTTTTACTTGGTCTGTTTGTTCTTCTTCCAGCTCAACCCATCTTGCTACTGCTTCCATTTTAATTTATAAGTTATCTATCAGTTACAAATTATAATTATATGTGTAAGAATCAGTATATGTATATATTTAAGAAAATCTGGACGCAAGTGTTCAGTCTTTTTCTCCCTTCATTCTGAAACCTTCTGGTGAGTGAAATTAGGATGAGAATTTCAACACAGAATCCTAAAATTGATGGTGACTTTTTGGCGAGATCCCACAAGGGCTTCAGTGAGGGTTAAATGTGGGCTTAACTCTGGTTTGGGCCAGAGGCAAACTTCCTGCCTTAATCCATTGTTTTAAATCTCTCAGACTCTGCAGGGGAAGGCAAGGGCTGATATGTGACACTGTGTAATGAACACTACAGCAACAAGCTCCTGTGAGCCATGCTGGGCGTTCGGATTGCCTGTACAATCCATGTTCCAGGACATCAGGCACCACAGACATTGCTCTGGCTTTTCAGTAACTGTCACCCAGTCTGCTGGGGAAACTCTCTGTGCATCACAAGGAAGTTCTGGACAAATATTTGTTTCTTTCATTTATGGTATGGGAACAGAAGCATGCTAAATGTGGTTCTGTTCATCTTCACGCTTGAGGTGCCTCCTCTTGGGCAGAACTGCTGGGTTGTGTCAAAGGCTGGCAATTGCCTTGGCACTGAGTGCCCGTGTGGCCACAGTGCCTGGGCTGGTTGTGCCCCAGATGGGTGTGGGGATGTCAGTGCAGCAATTGGCACCTCTGCTGCATTCACAGCCCAGCTCCAGGGCAAGGGTCAGCAGTGTGTGCCTGCGTCTGCACCTCTTCATGCACAGGTCAGCTCTGGAAGCCACTTGTCTGTGTGCCAGAGCGTGGTGAGGACTTAGAGCAAAGCCTGAAGTGCTGCTGCAGTACAATCATAGCTTAGGAAAGCATTAATGTGTTTCTGGTGGAAGCTACATTATTATGCACAATTCAAATTGCTGACTCCATGTCCTTCTGTGTGTGTTGCATTTGGAATACAGATGGTAAAATCAACAAGCTTGTAGCTTAAGTTCAAAAGGCTTCAGGTCATAACTCAGGAAATGAAGTTCTAATTTCTTCCTTTGCCACATTTTTGTGACTCATTCAGATTACTTGATCTTTCACTGTCTCAATTTACTGCCTTGGAATTTAACCTAAACCCACCTATTTCTTCCCTAGACTTTTTCCAGCCATTGTGGAGGCATAAAAGATAATGACTAATTTCAGATGTTCTCTTTAGTAGGATTGGGAAGGAGTGCTATTAACTTTGTGGTGTCATTCAGAAAAGTTACTGAGGAGACAAATGCCAAAAGTAGAGATTGTATCATCATCTGTGTATTGCATAGTTATTCTTGTCAGTGTGCAACAGGAAGAGATCCCCAGAAATCAAAGGCTATGTAAACTTTATGGAATAGACCTTTTGGAGGTCTGCTTTCAACATCAGGAGATTCTAAATATGTAGTAACTTCACGTTTTCTGTGCTAAATGACATTTGTTTAAAATGTAAGGTGGCCAAAGCTAAGAATCTAGGGTGTTTTCAGAACTCTCTTATTGGAAAGAACTTGATGCTAAAGTATTACATCTTGAGCTTTCTCTATTGAGCTATAATGTTAAGGATAGATTTTTTTTTCTAATTTAAAATCTGTGTCAGGAATGTGGTTGAAACCGTAAAGCTATGTCAGACCATGGTAATCTTTAGTATCAGGAAACCTTCTGTGTGCTGGTATGCTTTAAGAGAAGTTGGATTAGTTTTGCACACTTCCTGTGCAGAGCTGTTCCTGACCTTGCAGCAGTTTTTTCAAGGTGGTAAGCACTGGTGGGACCATGCATTGGAAAATGTGGGCTCCTCAGCACAGGAGAGACAGGGAGGTACAGCAGAGTGTGCAGCCTAGGGCCAGGAAGGTGTTCAAAGAAAAGCACCATGCTGTCTGCAGGGAGCAGCTGGGAGCACTGTGCTGCTTCATCTCAGAACAGAAGGCTCCAGGACATCTCATCAGTGGATAAACAGCTGGAGGGGGAAGGTACAGAGGAGACAGAACTTGGCCACTTTTGCTGCCTGGTGCTGGAACCGGAGCCACTGGGCACAAAATGAAACAGGGGAGTTTTCCTCTGAACGTGAGGAAATTTGTTTTGCAGCGAGGGTGATCGTGCACCAGCGCAGGTTGGCCAGAGAGGCATGGCATCCACTGAGTCACAGCCAGATCTGAGAGCAAGGCTGGGACAGCAGCAGGTGCCTTCCAAAGGCATCGGAGCATAACTCTAGGAGCTCCCTTCCAGCTTCAGCCTGTGATGATGTTAATGATTCATGAACAGGGGCATCACAGGACCAAATCAGTTATGCTTTGGAGGT